TTTTATTTAAGAACTGGGAGTTGCTGAAAGGCAGGTTACACCACTTTTCACACTCCTTTTACAGATTATAGGGCGAGGTGCTCCTGTTTGGGTGTTTCAGTTTTAACTCTTGTTTAGGAGGATGGGGTCAACCTCTGCTTTATAACACTTGGGGACGTGGATTCAAGGTAAAAGGGGTTAAGTTTTTAAAAGGAGATAAGAGGCAGGTTTTTTACACAGGGTGGTAAAGGCCTAGAATGCACTGTCAGAGGAGGTGGTGGATACAATAGCAATGTTTCAGAGGCATCTTGACAGATACACGAATAGACGAGAAATAGAGGGTTATGGACTGCATAGAGGCAAAAGGTTCTTAGCTTAGAAAGGCCCAATCTTGGAGAGCGGAAGGGCCTGTTCCTATGCTGTATTCATTGTTCTGTGTTCTCTTTGTTTAATAGCTGTACCTTCTGGAGAATGCTCTACTGAATGATGGAGTCAAGTGGTGATGTCATGGGTTGATTCATTCATGAATAACTGCTGTTAGGGACATTGTCTCTATTACTGATTTTTAAAAAGGAGCTTTTTATTTCCTTAATGCCCTACAACTATTAATTGTAAGCTCTTTAGTAAAATTTGTATAATCTACTAGAAATGCTTACCTGATTAGGAAGTGCCATGTTAATTATAAATTAAAAGTATGTGCCAAGACAGGTGATGTCTGCAGTTGCATCACATGACAATTTGTGGAGTTCTGTGTGATCCAGTGTAAACCGAACATCAGCTCGGAGTCATTGAGCTGGAGGCTGAGCTGTAGACATTGTGGCACGCCAGGCAGGGGGAGCTTTGCTCCTTCCAGGAGGTGATCACAGTCCTCAAGGTAGGGTCATCTGATTTTGATCAGTGGTCCAAGGCTGAAGGGTATGCCTGCAAGTGAGACAGATAAGGAAACCCAAGGGCCAGGAGCCTCTGCCTTTGTAATTGTCCAATGGTTTGGAGGTTCTCTCAGTTTATTTGGATGAGTGTGAGGGCTGAAGGGTGGGTGAGGTAAATAACTGGTGACGTGGGACAGGAAGCTATAAGTTGGAGGAGCGAGAAGGATATAGTGGTGGTACAGGACAGTATAATGAGGGGGATTAATGCATTCCCTACACTAGAGAACTAAATCCAGGAGGCTGAAGATGTGGCTCAAAGACCTAGAAATGGGTTGTAGACTGTGGAGTACTGGCACTGGGGAAAGTGGGCTCTATATATTTTGGATGGTCTGATCCTGAACAGTGCCGGGAGTGGTGTTCTAGTAAGCCACGCAGTTAGAAGTAGAGGGCTCCAAACTTAAACAATATGGTGAGGGATCAAGCTTGCATAGATGTAACATGGAGTAGACTATAGCCAGGTGAGCCAAGTAGGAATATGGGAAATGAAAGACGGAGAAGAAACCCAAGACTACACCAACAGTCCAAGGATATCAAAGTTGAAACTAAAGGCTCCATCACAATTTATGTAGCCTTCGTAACAATGCAATTAAAATGAGTGAACGTTTAAATAAATATGATCAGATAGCTATTTTGGAGAAATAGCTGCAGGATGACAAGGGTTTGGGCCCTGAATATTGACAAGATTGACATTCAAGAGGATGGAATGCTGGGTGAAGGGTGATACTGTTAATCGAGGATGGTATTAAAGCAATTATCAGTGATGACCTCAGTTCAGGACATCACATTGTTAAAGTGTTCTGGGTGGACATGGCGAACAGTAGTGGAAAACAGGTAACCAGTTGGAACTGTGTACAGCCCCCTAACAGTAACCACAACATGGGACGAATTGTACCAGAAATATTGGGTGTGCCCCCAATGCTACAGCGATTACTTGTGACCATCAAAAGGTGCAATCTTAGTAATGTAAGCTTGGTTCCCAAATGACAATCTTTGATGCTATTAACTTCTGAACCCAACTTCAAAATAGTACCTAGCTGTAGGTCTAATAAGAATTAAGTTTATACTGGTAGGTACTGCAAGATCGTAATCTCATTCACTTTGGTTCCAACAGAGCGGAGTCTGTTATGCCCTTATCAAATGATGATCAGCTGCAAAAGCTGGAAGATGATCATCGAATGGCCTGAATTCACCCAATTGGCCCCTGAGCTAGCAGGTCTATCGGTGATAAACTAGGACTCTCCAAGGATCTAAAAGGGAATAGAATGAAATTCTGCAAGCTCTATAGACCATATACATGTAGGTCACATGAGTATAGAAGAAAATATCTGATTTGTGCATAAATCCATGCATTGATCTGTCATTAATAAGGATATTGATCAACTGATCAAGTCATGAGGTTGAGGGAATCAACAAGTTTCTCAACAATTGAGAATCACTCGGTCCATGCAAAATTCCTTCTGAACAGTGTTCCAAGATTGCAACTGAATCGTGTCTAAGGACATGGCTACAGCCTGGTGACTGACTTATTTCGCTAAATTTCCTTCTTGAGACAAAGCAAAGATGCCATGGGTAATGGGTATTGAAACATTGACCCCTCTCTATTCATTAGAAGTCACATGACACTGTGTAGTCCAACAGGCTTATTTGAAATCACCAGCTTTCCAAGCACTGCTCCTTTTGTCAAGTGAAGCCTATTCGTTAGGACTTTTTTTTGTATTTTCATAAATTGTCTGACAATGATCATTAATTCATCAGTTGCAAAATGAACAGGAAATGGGGTGTTCAACTTATTTTTTAAAAAGAGCCAAAAGAACTGCGGATGCTGTAAATCAGGAACAAAAACAGAAGTTGCTGGAAAAGCTCAGCAGGTCTGGCAGCATCTGTGAAGAAAAAATCAGTGTTAACATTTTGGGTCTGGTGACCCTTCACAAATGCTGCCAGACCTGCTGAGCTTTTCCAGCAACTTCTGTTTTTGGTCAACTTATTACCTCTTCTCCCTACCCTCCATTGAATGGTCTCGCAAGTTGCACTGTTTATGCTGTAAAATGCATGATTATTCTTGAGCAGACCCTTGTGCTCTGTTCAAAAACAAGCTGCCCACTGTTATTTCTCGGGGCCTTTTACAGACTAAGTATGAACTGATTTTTCTAAGTGAAAATTGTCCACATCCTAAGAAAAATGAAGTTAAAGGAGTATTTATTGCCCCGTCCCTAGTTGCCTTTGAGATGGTGAGCTGTCACCTTGAACTGTTGCAGTCTGTGTGCTGTAGATAGACCCACAATGCCCTTAGGGAGGGAATTCCAGGATTTTGAACCAACAGCAACAGTGAAGGAATAATGATTGATATACTTCCAAGCCAGGATGGTGAGTGGCTTGGAGGGGAACTTGTAGGTGATTCCCATACTTCTGCTGCCCTTCACATTTTGGATGGTCATGGAATTGTTTACATCGTAGAATCTTTACAATACGGAAAAGGCCACTCAGCCCATCGAACCCATCCAGACCCAGGCCCCTATTGTATCCTCATAATCCCGAATTTACAATTACTAGTCCCCCTAGCCTGCACATCTCTGGACAATTTACCATGGCCAATCCACCTAACCTGCACCTTTTTGGACTGTGGGAGGAAACTGGAGCACCCAGCGGAAACCCACGCAGACACGGAGAATGTGCAAACTCCACACAGACAGGCACCCAAGCCTGGAATCGGACTGGTGCTGTAAGGCAGCAGTACTAACCACTGAGCCACTGTGCCGTTAGTGAAAGTGAAAAATCATCGACTATGTGAACAGCTATTTGTGGACAGGACCCTGGGCAGTGCTCCACCTTTGATAGGTAGATAGTGGCTGCTGGCTGCTCTTGTGAATGGAATGCTGTTTCAAAGTGATGTTCCAAAAGCCTCCGTGTCGGGGTCCCTGCTGTTTATTTTATACACTAACAATTTGGACTTGAACGTAGGGAGTACAATTGGAGAAATTTACAGACAGCACAAAACTTGGCCAAGTAATGGAAGCTCCAAAATAATATCGATGGATTGGTGGAGTGGGCAGGAAAGTGGCAGATGGAGTTCAACTCGGATAAATGTGAGGTAATGCATTTAGGGAGGTCAAACAGAATAACAAAATACACAATAAATGGAATATAGTGAGGGTGTAGATGAAGTGAAAGATCTTGGCATGTGAGTGCACAGGTCCCTAAAGGTAGCTGTTCGAGTAGAAAAGTTTGTAAAGAAGGCATATGGAATGCTCTCCTTTGTTGGCAGAAGTATAGAATACAAAAGTAGGATTTTAATGATAAAACTGTATAATATACTAGAGTATTGCTTGCAGTTCTGATCACCGCATTACAGGAAGGACAGATTGTTCTGGAGAGAATGCAAAGACTATTTACTAGAAAGTTGCCAGGGCTGGAGAATTGTAGGTATGATGGGAGATTGAAGAGGTTGAGGTTGCTTTCCTTGGAACAGAGAAGGCTTACGGGCGACATGATTGAGGTATACAAAAATGTGAGGGGTAGAGATTGAGTAGATAGGAAGAACCTGTTTCCCTTGCTAGGGAGTTCAAAAACCGAGCAAAGTGACAGAAGGATTAGAGGTGATGTGCGGGGAAAAACCTCTTTATGCAGAGGGTCGTAACTGTCTGGAATTTGCTGCCTGAATTGCTGGTGAAGGCAGAGACCCTAAACTGCTTTCTAAAGTACCCGTATCTACACCTTAAGTGCTGCAGGACTGCAGGCCATGTGCAGTAAAATGGGATTAGAAAGGGTATCTGGGTGTCATTGAATCAGCATGGACAAGCTGGGCTGAATGGCTCCCTTCTGTGCTGTATCATTTCTGTGGTTCTGTGCCAGTGTTATATCTGTACTGGAAGTGCAGCTAATTCTCGAGCACAAACCTTCAGTGATCCAGTGAATTTATTGCTATAGGAATGCAGCTGTCTTCTCAGAATATGATTTGAATCCACACCACCTTGTACATAATGGAGACTCCTGCAAATGTGGCTGTCTTCATATTTGATCTTTTCAGCATTTTCTTATTGTGGTACTGTTAGGATGTGTTTTACTTTCAGCACTAATAATTGGTTCTGATTACAGAGAGTACAGACAGAAAAGCAACATAACATTTCACAGTAATTACACTGTCTCATACCGAGAATATCGGCGTTACCATTTCTGTCCTGAGCGGTCAGCTGGGAATGAGAGTGATGAACTGGTCTTGCCCAATATGCTTGCTCTGGTAGGTACATGATTTGAACCAGTCCTTTACTTAAAAAAGGGGCTGAGTTAGACTGTTTAACAGGGCTGGAATTGTCGTGTCTGATGAACAGAAGTGAGTGTCTGGTCCAATTGGTTTATGCTGGTGGTTATACTAATTACCTCCCAGCTTTTCCTAACATTCCCTTTGTTCCTTTCTGCCTCATGTTGGTGTTTAGCCTCTTGCTAATGCATCCCTGCTCTCTCTTTTTCAACCATTTCTCATGGCAACCACTTATCCTATTCCATACTCTCTCAATTTCAAAGAAATATCACCCTTGACCTTACGAAGGATTGATCCCCTCTGCCTTTCAGACATGACTGTTTGGTTGAAGCATATGCGGTATGTTTGCCATCTAAGTTGCTGGCATGTGGTATAGGTGTGATATTGATGTATCATGGTGACATAAAGTGTCATATTCATCCATTTGATTATTCAGTGCTCCTCACAATGAGAAGCTGCCTACCCTCCCCTCTGGACAGAAATGCAAGCCTAAGAGACCAGCAACCTCCAAGCTTGCTCACAATGAGTGAGTGCTACAAAATGAAGCTAAAGAGATATGATATGCTTCCTGTCTAAGTGGATCCTGTGTCCCTGCATATGATGTGACCTGATAGAAGTATGCAAGCGGTAGGTGACTTTGAGCTCCAGAGAGAAGCCCTGAAGGGCGGAAGTGGTGTGAGTTGGTCCAAAAGCAGCCATGGTGCTGTGGTGAGACTGTTTGTTGGCCAATGTGCTTGAATGAAAAGAAAAGAGGATATTATCCTGGAGCATGCAGGACGTGATGGAGACAACGTTGGATCAAGGTGTGGAGAAGGAAGTGGTAACCTGCTAGGTAACTTTCATTTCATGAACCGGCAGTACCTAGTTTCTTGGAGAGGGGAATTGGAAGCCGCATAGAAACAATCACAGAAACATAGAAACGTTCTTGAAGCTTATTAATAACAAGAACAAGAACTTTGTTGTTATTAATAAGATGCAAGTAAATGGAAATGAGAGTTTCCACTTACTGGATGCGGATTTGATTCCATCCTCTGGTGACTCTGTGTCTGTGTGAGTTTTCACATTCTCCCCGTTCTGCATGGGTTACCTGTGGGTGCTCCGGTTTCCTCCCACAGTCTAAAGATGTGCAGGCTAGGCGGATTGGCCATGTTAAATTGCTCAGTGTTTAGGGCTGTGAAGATGAGGTGCATTAGCCATGGGTAATGCAGGATTACAGGGATAGGGTAGGGGGATGGGTCTGGGTGGGATGCTGTTCAGAGGGTCAGTGTGGACTTGTTGCGCCAGATGGCCTGTTTCCACACTGTAGAGATTCGATGATTCTATGACTTCAACCTTTAAGGGGGAAACTGGAAATCTTATTTTTTCTCACTCTCTTGCTCTCACACCAAGGTCCTTCTGCAAATATTTTCCAGTCTCTTATCATTCAAAAACTATTGTTATTTTTCCAATTAAAGTAGGCTACCAAACGTTTGTTGCAATGTATTCCATCTGCCGTGACTATGCCTACTCCTGGCCTCCATTGAGAAACAATCTAAACTATTGTACTTCAAGTAATCATCCTAATGATTCTTGAATGTTTCGAGGATGTCTATCTCTACCATCCTTTTAGACCGTGAGTTCCCAATACTCACCATTCTCTGGGTGAAGAAATAAAATCTTTCTTAAATCTCCTCAAAATCTCCTGCCTGTTATCTTGGTTATTGACCCGTCTACTAAAGGGTAAGGTTTCTTCTTATCAACCCTCTCAAGTTAGTATGTCTCAATCAGGTACTCCTCAAACTTCCCCGCTGATGAGACCAATCCCAGCCTTTCTTGTTTCTCTCCATATCCGAATCACTCCAGCCCAGGCACTCATCAGAATGAGGAAGCAAGAAATAGACTGGGGGTCAAGCGATACACCATTTTATACTGAATGAGCAGAGAGTGCTGATTAGTTGCTCCATAATTGATTGAAGATGCAGTAAGAATGGTTAATTGTCTTAGTTCTCAGGCCACACAAGTCAGTTTTGATTGGTGAGGGTCTGGCTATCTTCGTGACCCCCTATTTTTATCTTTTTAAAGAAAAGTGCAGTGTGTGTACAAATTCCTTTAGCCTATGTAAAACAAGGTCCTGAGTATTTCTGTACACATCTCACCACAATCCTGCTGATGACCTTGAATTTGTTTTCAGTGTAACTCTTCATACAGTCCAAATTATTTAATAAATTATTTCAAAGAGTGGAATCACATCTAATGGTGGGAATACATTTTTTTCAAGTCTGTGTTTCTTGCATCCTAGTTCTGATGAGTGCAAGACAAAAAAAAACTTCAATTTCCAGTCTCCTTTTAGAAATGTTTGTGTTTACTGAGTTGGCCTCTATCACTGAAAAGCTCCCCACTATCAGTTCTACCATTTGCCAGACTTTATTTCCTAATATTAGGTCTAGCCCAGTCCCTTGTACATGTCTCTACTGGACACCTTTTTAAGAATTCTGCCACAAATGTTTCCCAAACAACCCACTAAGATAAATTTGAAACCAGGGATCCTTCCTAATCTCTGACTTTTGTTTACATAGTCTTCATTTTACCATTTTCTATTGATTCTATTTCATCTGATGAAATAACTGTTTTACAACCTGCCAAAATTCACTGAATGCTTTTCACTAATTTAGCATCCACTCCCAAGACAAATGATTTCTCTGGTCTGTTATTGTTGCAAGCAGTGTGGACCTACAGCTCACCTAAGTCGTCTTATTGTTTCTGATCCTACCTTTCCAGCTGTTTATCTTTTAATGCAACATGACCTCTGTCTCTTATGTGCTTTTTTTAAATTCAAGGTGCCTCAGTAGCATTATTCTATTTTCTACCGTTACATTTTAATTCCTAATCTAAAATGTATATACTAAAACACACGTACTTTTAACTAGACCTTTGCACCACAGAATTTTGCATTTTAAAAAAAAACCTCTTCCAGAGCACCTTTTGAAAATCCAAATACACTACCACTGAGTATGGGACTGGGACATCATTTTGAGGTTATACAGGATGTTGGTGAGGCCATTTTTGGTGGTTTGTGTACAGTTCTGGTTGCCGTGCTATTGGAAGGATGTTTTTAAATTGGAGAGGGTTCAGAAAAGATTTACCAGGATTTTGCTGGGACTACAGAGTTCGAGTTATAAGGAGAGGCTCGATAGGCTGGGACTTCCTTCACTGGAATGCAGGAGGTTAAGGGGTGACGATTATATATCCTTCCTGTGGTGTGGTGGCTGGATCTGTTCTCGGTTCTCCAAGTGGGGTCTATCCAGGGTTTTGTATAACTGCATCACTAAAAATAAAAATGCAAAGAACTGAGGACACTGGCAATCGGAAACTAAAACAGAAATTGCTGAAAAAATGTGGGCCTGGACCAGTGACATTCCTTCAATTGTACTATTCCTTAAGGGGAAAGGTCTGCCAATCCAACTTGCGAATGGTGGTTATTGCTTTACTATATTTTAATTTTTTTGTTTACTGTTTGGTTTAATTGCAGGGTGCAGCTTTAATGGTTGAAGATTTGCCTTATGCTTTGAAACTCATCTTCAGCACTGCCTTGAAGACATTTAGTGAAACTCCATTTATTAAGAAATCTGTGAAGGAGATAATGTGGGGATATGATGATCCACTTGTTGATTTTCTTAATCGAGTTTTTCCAGGCACTATCCCATTTAAAGGAAAATTTGGTTTGTTTGCTGAAGTAAGTATCTTTTCTAATACTAAAATCTGAAATAAGTAAATGTTTCTATGTTAAGGGCTAGTTGTATTTAACGTGTAACTTCATTTTAAGAAATGAAAGTTAGCACTGGACACATGAGACATTATTATCTGACTTACTTGATTGTTCTCTTTGATAGAGCAACTATGAGGGTTAATGAGGGCAGTTTGGTTTTTTTGACAGTTTCCTAAATACAAATTGGCTGGCATGGTTCTGCTCATAAAGCTCAGACATCTCTACACATACAAGCATAGGACCTAAGAGCAGGATTAGGCCATTTTGACTTCATCGTAAGACACTTTGGGTCGTCCTGAAGTTGTGAAAGGTGGTTTATAAATTTGTATTTCTGTCTTTTCCATGGGTGTTCAACAATAGAACTTCTGGATTTACATCCATGATCTAAACATGCATAGAACAGTACAGTACATGCACTTTGGCCCACGATGTTGTGCCAACCTATTATCCTCGAAGATCAATCTACCCTGCATACCCTACATTTTACTATCCTCCATGTGCCTATCCAAGAGTCACTTAAAAGTCTCTAAAGTATCTGACTCCACTGCTGGCAGCGCATTCCACACGCCCACCACTCTGTGTGAAGAACCTACCTCTGACATCTCCCCTATACCTTCCTCCAATCACCTTAAAGTTATGCCCCCTCGTAATAGTCATTTCCGCCCTGGGAAAAAGTCTCTGACTATCCACTCTATCTTTTGCCTCTCATCATCTTGCACACCTCTATCAAGTCACCTCTCATCCTTCTTCGCTCCAATGAAAAAAGCCCTCGCTTCCTCAACCTTTCCTCATAAGACCTGCCCTCCAGCCCAGGCAGCATCCTGGTAAATCTCCTCTGCACCCTCTCTAAAGCTTCCACATCTTTCCTATAATGAGGTGACCAGAATTGAACACAATAATCCAAATGTGGTCTAACTAGAGTTTTGTAGAGCTGCAGCATAACCTCACTGCTCTTAAAGTCAATTCCCCTGCCAATGAAAGCCAACACACCATACGCCTTCTCTACAACGTGGGTGGCAACTTTGAGGGGTCTATGGATGTAGACTTCAAGATCCCTCTGTTCCTCCACACTGCCGAGAATCCTGTCATTTAACCCTGTATTCTGCATTCAAATTCGACCTTCCAAAATGAATCACTTCACACTTTTCTGGGTTGAATTCCATCTGCCACTTCTTTACCCAGCTCTGCATCCTGTCAATGTCCCATTGCAACCTACCACAGGCCTCCACGCTGTCCACAACTCCACCAACCTTCGTGTCATCAGCAAAGTTACTAACCCACCCTTCCCTTTCCACTTCCTCATCCAAGTCATTTATAAAGATCACAAGGAGCAGAGGTCCCAGAACAGATCCCTGCAGAACATCACTGGTCACCGAGCTCCAGGCTGAATACTTTCCATCTACTACCACCCTCTGTCTTCTATTGGACAGCCAGTTTTGTATCCGGACAGCCAAATTTCCCTGAATCCCATGCCTCCTGACCTTCTTAATGAGCCTGCCATGGGGAACTTTATCAAATGCCTTGCTAAAATCCATATACACCACATCCACTGCTCTACCTTCATTGATGTGTTTTGTCACATCATTAAAGAATTTAATAAGGCTTGTGAGGCATGACCTGCCCCTCACAAAGCAATGCTGACTATTTCTAATCAAACTGTGCTTTTCCAAATAATCATAAATACTATCACTCAGAATCCTCTCCAATAATTTGCCCACCACAGAAGTAAGACTGACCGGTCTATAATTTCCAGGATTATCCCTATTTTGTTTCTTGAACAAGGGAATGACATTTGCCATCCTCCAATCTTCTGGCACTACTCTAGTGGACGGTGTGGATGCAAAGATCATTGCCAAAGGGGCAGCAATCTCTTACCTTGCTTCCCATAGAAACCTTGGGTATATCCCTTCTGGCCCAGGGGACTTATCTATCCTCGTGCTTCTCAAAATTTCTAGCACATCCTCCTTCCTAACGTCAACCTATTCGAGCATATCTGCGCGTTTCCTGCTGTCTTCACAAACTCAAGGTCCCTCTCAGTGGTGAATACTGAGCAAAGTATTCATTAAGGACCTCCCCTACCTCCTCCTGACTCCGTGCACAAGTTCCCTCTGCTATCCCTGATTGGGCCTACCCTCACTCTGATCATCCTGTTGTTCCTGACATAAGTATGGAAAGCCTTGGAGTTTTCCTTGATCCTCCCCGCCAAGGTTTTCCCCTACTCCCTTCTAGCTCTCCTAAGTCCCTTCCTCAGTTCAATCTGGATTCAGGTTTGCAAGGAATTATTTCAAAGTTTGCAGCTGACGTGAAACTTAGAAATGTAATGAAATGTGAGGATGATAGTAAGTTACTTCAGGAGAACACAGCCTGCTAGAACAGATTAATAATATTTAGTGCAGAAGTGTGTGAAATGATGTATTTCGCTTGAAAGACCAAGAAGGGCACAATAAACTAAATGGTCCAATTTTAAAGGGGATGCAAGAACAGAGAAACAAACTCTTAAAGTGGCAGGGTAAGTGAAGAAGGTTTTTAAGGCTACGGAATCCTTGGCATTGTTATGGCTAGGGGATGACTGACTAGAATAGAACCATGGACGAGAGAGGTTGGTTTTGCAGAGAAAATGGAAAGGCTGGGATTGCTCTTTGGAGCAAATTTAAAGGGAGATAAAACATAGAACATTACAGCGCAGTACAGGCCCTTCGGCCCTCGATGTTGCGCCGACCTGTGAAACCAATCGAAAGCCCATCTAACCTAAACTATTCCATTTATCATCCATATGTTTATCCAATTACCATTTTAAATGCCCTTAAAGTTGGCAAGTCTACTACTGTTGCAGGCAGGGCATTCCACGCCCTTACTACTCTCTGAGGAAAGAACCTACCTCTGACATCTGTCCTATATCTATCACCCCTCAATTTAAAGCTATGTCCCCTCGTGCTAGCCATCACCATCCGAGGAAAAAGGCTCCCAATGTCCACCCTATCTAATCCTCTGATCATCTTGTATGTCTCTATTAAGTCACCTCTTAACCTTCTTCCCTCTAACGAAAACAGCCTCAAGTCCCTCAGCCTTTCCTCATAAGACCTTCCCCTCCATACCAGGCAACATCCTGGTAAATCTCCTCTGCACCTTTTCCAATGCTTCCACATCCTTCCTATAATGCGGTGACCAGAACTGTACGCAATATTCCAAATGCGGCCGCACCAGAGTTTTGTACAGCTACAACATGACCTCATGGCTCCGAAACTCAATCCCTCTACCAATAAAACCTAACATACCGTACGCCTTCTTAACAACCCTATCAACCTGGGTGGCGACTTTCAGGGATCTATGCATATGGACACCGAGATCTTTCTGCTCATCCACACTACCAAGCATCTTACCATTAGCCCAGTACTCTGTATTCCTGTTACTCCTTCCAAAGTGAATCACCTCACACTTTTCTGCATTAAACTCCACTTGCCACCTCTCAGCCCAGCTCTGCAGCTTATCTATGTCCCTCTGTAACCTGAAACATCCTTCCACACTATCCACAACTCCACCGACTTTGGTATCATCCACAAATTTACTAACCCATCCTTCTATGCCCTCATCCAGGTCATTTATAAAAATGTCAAACAGCAGTGGCCCCAAAACAGATCCTTGAGGATATACCACTAGTAACTGAACTCCAGGATGAACATTTCCCATCAACCACCACCCTCTGTCTTCTTACAGCTAGCCAATTTCTGATCCAAACCGTTAAATCACCCTCAATCCCATGCCTCCATATTTTCTGCAATAGCCTACCATGGGGAACCTTCTCAAACGCTTTACTGAAATCCATATACACCACATCAACCGCTTTACCCTCATCCACCTGTTTGGTCACCTTCTCAAAGAACTCAATGAAGGTTTGTGAGGCACGACCTACCCTTCACAAAACCGTGTTGACTATCCCTAATCAAATGATTCCTTTCGAGATGATTATAAATCCTATCTCTTATAATCCTTTCCAACACTTTACCCACAACCGAAGTAAGGCTCACTGGTCTATAATTACCAGGGTTGTCTCTACTCCCCTTCTTGAACAAGGGGACAACATTTGCTAGTCTCCAGTCTTCTGGCACTATTCCTGAAGACAATGACGACATAAAGATCAAAGCCAAAGGCTCTGCAATCTCCTCTCTAGCTTCCCAGAGAATCCTAGGATAAATCCCGTCCGGCCCAGGGGACTTATCTATTTTCACACCTTCCAGAATTGCTAACACCTCCTCCTTATGAACCTCAATCCTGTCTAGTCTAATAGACTGTATCTCAGTATTCTCCTCGACTACAATTTTTTTTCCTGTGTGAATACAGATGAAAAATATGCATTTAGCGCCTCTCCTATCTCTTCAGACTCCACGCACAACTTCCCACTACTGTCCTTGACTGGCCCTCATCTTACTGTAGTCATTCTTTTATTCCTGACATACCTATAGAAAGCTTTAGGGTTTTCCTTGATCCTACCTGCTAAAGACTTCTCATGTCCCCTCCTGGCTCTTCTTAGCTCTCTCTTTAGGTCCTTCCTGGCTAACTTGTAACTCTCAAGCGCCCCAACTGAGCCTTCACACCTCATCTTTACATAAGCCTCCTTCTTCCTCTTGACAAGAGATTCAACTTCTTTAGTAAACCACGGTTCCCTCGCTCGACCACTTCCTCCCTGCCTGACAGGTACATACTTATCAAGGACACGCAGTAGCTGTTCCTTCAACAAGCTCCACATTTCAATTGTGCCCAGCCCCTGCAGTTTCCTTCTCCATCCTATGCTCTTGCCTAATCGCCTCAGAATTGCCTTTCCCCCAGCTATAACTCTTGCCCTACGGTACATACCTATCCCTTTCCATCGCTAAAGTAAACGTCACTGAATTGTGGTCACTATCACCAAAGTGCTCACCTACCTCCAAATCTAACACCTGGCCTGGTTCATTACCCAGTACCAAATCCAA